CATAACTCCTCATAAATTCTTGTACTTTTCCGGGTTTTATTTGCCTTGCAAGCATAGAAATTTGTTGCTTATCTCTTGGTGACTTGAACAACATGATATAATGGGCGTTTAGGCTGATATTTCTCATTTCTTTGCCTTGATGAAATATATTTTGAACAATATAGATGATAGATAAATTCCGATGATGACTTCCTTTCGTAAAGAGATCAGAAATACGTTTATCTTTGCCAGATTGAGCCATGAGATCATCCAATACGATCAAATTCCGTTGCGATACGTCCAAGTAATCTGCGTTGTCGATGTCTTCGGGGATGCCTTGATTAAACTCGATTCCAGGCATTGTTCTCATCATATCAAAATAGGAGGGTTGCCATTGACCATAACACCAAATGATACGTTGAGGAGGTGGACTTATAGTTTTCTGTGCATTCTCCAAGAGAGATTTTACCCATATAGTCTTGCCGCTTTGGGTGCACCCAGCTACGATACATGTGAAAGGATGCAGCATAACACTGGACCGATTGACAACAATACTGGATTGGGATAGAGTGCCAGGTCCGTGAGCTGTATTTTGGTGCCGTGAACGGTTACTTGAAGTTGAGAATGATTTGTTACAAACTGTGCAAGAATGAGACATGTTCACTGCTCTGTGTCAAAACGATGACTGAAATTATTTTAAGTTGGTCCACTATTTATAACCACTCGTGATTATTCTTAGGATTCACTGATTTAATATAGGATTCAGTGATTCAATCTATGATTCACTCAATGATTCAATCTAGGATTCAATGATTCAATCTAGGATTCAATTATTCAATCTAGGATTCAATCTATGATTCAATGATTCACTCAATGATTCAATGATTCACTCAATGATTCAATCTATGATTCAATGATTCACTCTATGATTCAATGATTCAATCTAGGATTCAATGATTCAATCTAGGATTCAATCTATGATTCAATGATTCACTCAATGATTCAATCTGGGGTTCAATGATTCATTCAATGATTCAATCTAGGATTCAATGATTCACTCTATGATTCAATGATTCAATCTAGGATTCAATCTATGATTCAATGATTCACTCAATGATTCAATGATTCAATCTAGGATTCAATGATTCAATCTTGGATTCAATGATTCAATCTAGGATTCAATCTATGATTCAATGATTCACTCAATGATTCAATCTATGATTCAATGATTCAATCTGGGATTCAAGCTAGAATTCAATGATTCACTCTAGAATTTAATCTATTCAATCTAGAATTCAATCTATATTCGCAAAACCGTTTTTAAAATCATGTTCCTCGAGTAAGTGAACCATTTAAGCTCCAACTCTTGAAGAGAGATGACGTACTTTGATGTGTACAGGCCTTTTGTAGAGCTCTTATGTACTTCTCATCCGACTCAACAGCAAGCTCTTCTTAATTCTGCATCAGCTGAGCAAATTCGATGCTTGTGTCATTGTATAGAAAATTTCACATATCCTAAAGAAATAAAGGACAAACTCAAACCTTTCAAACAAGATCTAGCTGATTTGGCGAACAGAAGTAGAAGTTTTAGAACGAAAAAGGAAATTCTTGTTCAGCGGGGAAGCGGCTTTCTGGGATTGGTACTTGGACCACTTTTAGAAGGCCTTGCAGAATTAGTATAAAATAATAAGCATGAAGGGCATCTCCTCATTCCAATCATGGATAGTGACAAACGAGCATCTCCCGAACAGTGGAGACTTGAAGACATTCTCAAATATCTTGACGTTGATGATGAACACGAAGCCGAAGAAATCCTTCATTCTATTTTAACCTCTACGGGGATTTTGAACTGGAATGGAAAAGGAGAAATCGTTTACAGAGGCCATAATATACGACACACTGACATTTTAGACCTTCTGAAATATTGCGTGACGCCTTATCATCCAGATATTCCCGAACCAACTGGATTGAGCATTTTTATAAAAGGTCTTGCAGAATTGGAAATTGATAAAAGTCTAATCGTAAATGGACATGTCCTTTCTGTGTTAGCCCACAAGTGGTCCCATCAGGATACACAATCTGATGCTGACGCAACTTGTAACAGTTGCAACAAAGATATATACATCTCCCATTTGAGTACGTGCCCCGTATGCACATGGACAGATTTTTATCCGAATTGTAAAAGCTGTCGCTGTATGATCTGTGATTTTCAAGTGTCCAAAGGAGATTTTACGCATGTAATCGCCAGCTGTCCACATTGTCGTCGGGGCGAAATTATAGATATCAGAACGGATAAAAGACAATCTTTTAACCATAAAATAGGCGACCCAAGTGATATTTGATTAGTTGACGGCGTGAAGTTGAACTGAACACATCAACATTCCGAGAGGTACACTTGTTGTAGACGAAAAACTACTGAGAGACCATTTCTTGAGACAGCAGCGTGGCGGAAACATCGCTGGGTTTAATGGTGCACGTTTTCAAAGAGGATACGGGATCGGAGGTATTTTCAAGAGCCTTGCGAGATATGCTATTCCTCTATTCAAACAAAGTGCTAAAGTTGTTGGCAAAAGAGCATTACAAGCAGCCACAGAAGTGGGTCAAGATGTACTCCAAGGAAAAAATGTAAAAGAATCTGTAAAGACTCACGGAGGTGACGTTTTTAAAGACTTTGCCAAACAAGGAGCAAAAGTCCTACTACAACAAGCAGGCCGCGGAAGCAAGAGAAGGCAAGGCCAACGAAGTAATTTATCAACTACAAAGAGGTTAAAACTGTGTTCTCATATAACAGTCCCAAGACATACCAAATGGATTACGGAAGATGAAAGCAGCCACGATGATGAAAGCAGCTATGATGAAGAATCTGACAGCGAAACCCTTGAAACAAGTGACGATATATATTAGAAGCATGATTTTGTAAAACGTTTTGAAGAAATAAATGTGTTTAAAAACTGAAATATTGTGTAATTTTTGCCGGCAAAGCCCGCTGTTTCCGCCCGCGCGATCCGCCCGCCTGATTAGTGTACAAATATGTTGTACGTTAATATATGCATGCACCCGCAAAGCCACGCGCCTGATTTTAAGGTATACACCTGCGTTAAAAATAATCCCTATCTATCCATCGGGATACACTTAGTTATGCAAATTCGTATTGCCTTAATCCCCTTAATTACCTACACGCCTCCTAATGACTTAGCAACGCATAACAACGCAACGTTTGTAAAGTTTTAAAGCATGTTTATTGATACAAATAACAGACGATAGTGTCAAAAATATTACAACTAAAACTATTTGTTAAACTGTTCTATAAGTTTTTTCTCCATGAGTTCTTGATAAGCTTTCTTATGATCTGCCTCAAAACTTCTAAATCGTTCACCCGTCGCCTTCACATAATACATGTAACTCGGTGGGTAAGAGAAAAACGCTTCAGCTACGGACTCGAGTGGGTCTTCTAATCTCCAATGAAACAAATAGTTCAGTATACATTGTAGTTCGTGGTTCTCAGTGTTCTGATGTAGTTCCATCAATGAATCGACAAACGTAGAATCTGGATCTTTTTCCAGTTGCTGTAAATGTTCGAGTACATCTCTATCAACCGCCAGTTTTAGTACCCTCATTGCCTCAGCGAATTCATTCCAAACCATACGCTTACCATTCACTCGTTCGATCGCTTGTAAACCATACATTTGCCATCGTTCGTTTTCGTTCATCATGAGGCAGTCATGTTGTCTTTGACTAGGATGACCGACTTGACAACCATTACAGGATTCCACACAAAGTCTTTCAACTTCTTGTGCGACTGCATTCGCAAATATTCCTTCCAATAAATTGTAAGATGTGGTTTTACCGTGTAGACACGCCATGACTGATGTGGAACAAATATAGACGATGTTTGTAACAGGACGCTTGTCGATTTTACACAGATACTTGTATAAAAGTTCATAGTAAGCCAACATTAATCCCTCAATTGTATCATAAACGTGGAGAGACGCTAAAAAATGCGTAGTCAGCAAGTTTCGCCCGATCGTGTTTAAACCTGCCCGCGTGACGTCATTACTTACCTGATCCTCCCCGCGTGACGTCACTACGCACCCTCATTTGTGCGGCCCCCTTAATTACCTGCATATATAATGATGCGCCGCCCCCTTGCATAGTAATTACTTGCATATATAATGTGCGGCCCCCTTAATTACCTGCATATATAATGATGCGGCCCCCTTGCATAGTAATTACATGCATATATAATGATGCGGCCCCCTTGCGGCCCCCTGCGGCCCCCTAAAAATAAGGCCCGAACGGCCTCTATATTACTACTTCGAGGGATGCTTTGGTGGAGAAGTTAGTTGAGGAAAGGAATATTGAGGAATTGACAAGTATAAAGCTGAAACTATATGACAAGTGCAAAGAAATCAAGGACTTTCCAAGAGGAGAGTTTTACTCTAGAAGAAAACCTAAAAGTTCGAGTGGTTTTAGCAGTCTTGAAGAACGTCTTGCTGATGACGTTTATGAGTTAATGAACTGTCTCGATACAGGAATTGTGACAAGTGGAGTTAAAGCTTTGATTAAGTTGGATTCAACTACAAATGTGGCTGACGCAAATAACAAGGTCAATCATGAGCCTGGCAACAGTATAAAAAATTTCAATGACGTATCGCTAATAAGTCCAAACATTACAAATCGTTCGTTAAGCGGTTGGTCAGGGTTGAAAAGCAAACTTTCGTCAATGGAATCCGATCAAATGTTGTTCCGTGAAAGAGTGCTTTCTGAAATTATGGAATTAAAAACCAAAGTTACAGAGCTTGACTCCACCATACAAGTACAAAATGCGGAAATAAAACAGCTTAAGTCAGAAAATGAGCGTCTGCTTGGCATGCATCCTAGTAGCAATAACATGTTCTGCAATAATAAATCTATAAGCAATTCTCAGGAATCCAGTAACCATGTTGGTCAGGATAAGAATTTAAGCAAGGAAAATGAGGATATTGTCAATAATTACGCCACCACACAAAATGTGTTGAACGTCCCTTTATTGAAAGAACCCCGTTCATACAGGTCGGCTGTTATGTCAAACAGTCAGAAGCAAACAGATGAAGTGAGTAATCGCCGACCAAACAAAGAGCAAAATCAGAAACAGGAAAGCAAAAAAAACCGCAAAATCCAAAGGGAATAATACTAAAAGTTCAAGTATAGTATCACTAGACGATGAGTTTATTGGCGTCCAACGGAATCGTGTAAAAAAACAAGCGCTATTATATTGGTGGAATTGCAGAAACTACGAAGAAAGAAACAATTCTACAGTACCTGAATGGCAAGGGAATATCCCCGACATTATTTAATTTATTTACCAGTAGAAGAAAAGGAACGCTTTCCGCTAAAATGAATGTCCATGCCGAAGATGTTGAGAAGATGATTGTGGAAGATTTCTGGCCAAAACACGTGTACTGTAGACCGTAAGTGTCCAAGAAAAAGTTAGATAATAAAGTTGGACACAAAGCAAAGCTGCCTACAGGAAGCGAAACTGAGGGAACTAAAAAGAAGGTATGATGGCAGGCTCACAAACCATACTTGCTACATCGAATATCCCTGTTATATTAAATCAGCGTTTGAATCGCACAAAAAAACACTGTCCGAGACGAGTTAATATGAACAATTTGACTTATGTTAAATGTACGAACAGGCAAAAGAACTGTTTTGTGCCGATTAAATTTTGCTTATTAAATACAAGATCGATAAATAAGAAAGAACTTATCCTTAAAGATTTCACGGTTGAAAACGATATTGACATTTTTGCAGTAACTGAGACATGGTTGCGTCACGATAATACTTTTTCTGTTGCTGAAGTCTGTCCTAAAGGATACTATTTTCATCATATCCCAAGAAAAAACTCACGAGGTGGAGGGGTTGGTGTGCTACTAAAGAAGAGTATACGTATAAAAACACAATCTCAAAGGAAATTCATCTCCTTCGAATATATAGACGTAACTATGGAATGTTCAAATAGTAGAACAAGAATGGTTATTATCTACAGACCACCATCCTCGAAGACCAATCAACTAACTAATTCTCAATTTTTTGACGAATTTTGCAACCTTATGGAGCAGCTAATAATTCTACCAGGCAATTTGTTAATAGCCGGTGACTTCAATTACTATGTGGACAACAGTACTAACCCGGATACCATAAAATTCAATAAAATATTGGAATCGTTCAATCTACAACAACACGTGAATGGGCCAACTCACAAGAAGGGTCACACCCTAGATTTAATAATAACAAGAATTGGCGATCGACTGGTGACTAACATTGAAATACACGACCCCATGTGTGCAGAAATCCAGTATCGCAAGCTGCGGAATATAAACATGGATAGTTTTAACGAAGACCTAGGAAAGTCGAACTTCAGTAGTGACAGTGAGCTACCAACTATTATCGATCAGTACGAAAAGACTTTGGAAGAAACTTTACAGAAACATGCGCCTTTAAAACGAAGAACTATTACTCTCCGGCCATCAGCACCATGGTATAACGAGGAAATTGGTAAAGCCAAAAGACACCGTAGAAGACTCGAGCGTCGTTGGCGAGCATCTAGACTGTGCATTGACAAAGAGATATATATTAAACAATGTCAGATAGTGAATGATATGATCAAGGAAGCGAAGACAACATATTACTCCTCCGCCATTTCTAATAATAAATATAATCAGAAAGTATTGTTTGATACAGTTGACAAACTACTTCACAGAAAACCAGAGAAATGTTATCCAACTACATCATCAAAAACTGAGCTAGTTAATAATTTTGGGGACTTCTTTAGTAACAAGATAGCAGTTTTACGTAGTGATTTGGCCAATATATCCACCTATGACAGTCAGTTGAGACCAGCGGAACTGTTGACACAATGCGTTGAGTTTAGAGTCTTTCAAACGGTAACGGAGCAAGAAGTCGAAAATATTGTTGACGCGAATGGCAAGAGATGCTGTGAACTCGACCCTATACCTGCAACAATTCTTAAAGGCTGTAAAAAGACTCTACTACCTACGTTTACTAACATCATCAACAAGTCACTCGAAACTGGATGCATGCCTGTACAACTCAAAGAGGCTATGTTAAAACCTAAGCTGAAGAAAAGCAATTTGGAGTTCGAAGAACACTCAAACTTCAGACCAATTTCAAATCTTAAATTTCTATCTAAGATAATCGAGAAAGCTGTTGCTACTCAACTCATGGAACATTTAGTCAATAATAACTTAGAAGAACCTCTCCAATCAGCATATAAACGCTTCCACAGTGCCGAAACGGCCCTGCTTAAAGTTCAGAATGACATTCTTATCGCTACTGACAATCAGAAATGTGTAGTTTTGCTGTTGTTGGACATGTCAGCCGCGTTCGACACAGTTGACCATGAAATCCTATTGGAACGAATGTCAAAACGGTTTGGAATTAAAGACAAGGTGCTAGAATGGTTTCAGTCCTACCTTCAAAACAGAACACAAACTGTGATGATTGATGGCGTTAAATCTGCTGCTAAAGATCTAAATTGGGGAGTTCCGCAAGGCTCAGTTCTGGGCCCTATTTTGTACCTGTTATACACCTCGCCCATTGGAGATATTATTAGACGTCATGAACTTGACTTTCATTTCTATGCTGATGATTCGCAACTATATCTTGCTTTTGAGCCAACTACAGATGAACAACCGGGTGCACTTGTGCGAATAGAAACATGCGTTAGAGAGATCGACTCGTGGATGGTTAGTAATAAATTGAAGCTAAATGGAGACAAGACAGAGTTGTTAGTAATAAATGCACGCCATCGCCCATGCCCGCTTATAGATCATATAGATATATCCAATTTTAAAATCCAACCATCTGAAACAGCTAGTAACATTGGCGTAACATTCGACCGACATATGTCTCTAGATCAACATGTGACTAATATCTGCAAGACATGATTCTTTCATTTGCGTAAAATAGCAAAGATAAGAGCTTATCTATCTACAGCAGACACTGAAACTCTGGTCCACTCATTTATTACTTCTAAACTGGATCAGGGGCGGATCCAGGATTTTTCGTACGTTAGTCAAAGTTTTCGGATGTACAATCTAGTTTTGCGGGCGGCGAATGCGCGAGGCACCTAGGGGGGTCTGCCCCCAGGAATTTTTGTATTTTTAAACCTCCGAAACGCAATTTGCATCACTCTGAAAGCAGCTTCAACAATTAACTTCATGAAATGGGAGATAATTATAGCAACTATCAGTCTGACTGTACTGGCTCTCACAACTCGCTCCTTAGGGAAAAGTAAAGGAGAAGTACTTGCAGAAATGTGATAATTGTGGAAGATGTTTCATTTTATCAAATTACGGATTGCTAGTATTATATTTAACTATCTCATGATAGTACTACACTCATTTTTGTTGCCTAATAGCCTTGTTGAGTCATTGATCACTTGACTAGTAATCACTACAGTGTCATATTACTCAAATAAACATATCAATCTTAAAGTCTTAATATTCATCTGTAAAACCTCTGCCTCGTCCCCAGTCGCTTGCTATCAAATAATTAATTAGTAAAAGACGAAAATTAATGGGGGCGCGTGGGACGATGGATTTTAATTTTTTCGTCTTCCCAGCATGCATCACAACAGATTTGTTCAGCCACTGATCTATATATTAAACTGATATGTCTATATATACACTGATCTACAAATAGCAAGGGCCTGCGGAGGAGGCAGGTAAAACCTGACCTTTATATCCTATGTGTACTGCATTAATGCATTTATATAGGTTATCCTCCATATTAATAGCCTTGTGAGTTCTGACGGACCTTCAACCGCAGAATTACAAATATGCAATTTGTTGTGTAAATCAAAATTCATAGCTAAATCTAAATCAAGATACGCGTATTCAAGTTACAATTTTACATACTGTATGCATGGCGCGCATCTTGTTCGCTTATAAATATTGTTATGCTGTCTAAAACGAAATAAAATTTACATATCACATTTAATTTACCTTATTGCACTTGAGAATAAAGATCTCGGCGCCAATACTTCAACTCAAACAGTCAAACTGTAGTTCGTGCTATTCGTGGCGCTTACGCCGCTTAACAACTGCTCACTGAATGGAACTCTCCGATATTTAGCGTTGATTTTCCTCCCAAGATCAGCGCAACAGTCTTGTAAGACAGCTAAATCATTCACCGCAAATGCGGATTGAACCGCTTCGTGAATACTACAAGGACTGGAGTCTGGAGCAGCAGACATTTCCGAATTTTCCGTAGATATCTTTAAATTGAATCTTCCGACAAAGCGACAACTTGACACTTCGAATGAGCGCGCGCTCGGAAAGACTTTACCACGCGTCAAATATTAATGATATTCCGACTAATGGAGCGCCCCTGACTTTTGTAAATCGGTCAGAACTCCCCACAGATCAGTCAAAATCGCAAAAATTCGCTTGTTGCCATGGCAATAAGCGTCTAGACCAATCAAAACACTGGATTGTGACTTTTTGACTGACCGATTTTGCGTATGTCAGCTGTTCATTGACTTGACTAAGCTCGTCGGCTCAACCACTGTATGAAATTTGATCACTGGACTACAGTTCGATTGGAATGTTAATTGCTAGCGCTGCATGATAATAGATACTGGACTATTATAAGATGTCGCTGCATGATAAATAATAACTGGACTATTGGTCGAATATTTAAGACTTTAATTAAGTTTGCAATTTTTACGTTAGTCGTGTGACTGGTTTCAGCGACCCCTAATCTAGCTGTAATTCTCTGCTATATGGGTTGCCAAAACTCATGATTGATCGATTACAAAATGTGCAGAACAGTGCAGCGCGTTTGATAGCAAGACGTAGAAAATTTGACCATATCACCCCTGTTATGAAAGAATTGCACTGGCTTCCCGTAAGCCAACGTATCATTTACAAGATACTTCTCATCACCTACAAAGCTCTAAATGGTCTTGCACCAAGCTACATTAGGGATATGCTACAACCGCACAAATCAACAATGAATCTACGTTCATCGACGAAAGGACTACTCTCAATACCCCCCATAAAGTTGGTCAACTATGGTCAAAGATCATTTTCATATGCAGCACCAAAACTATGGAATAAACTTCCAGATTCAGTACGACATAGTGAATCAATATCTATTTTTAAAACAAAATTGAAGACATATCTATTTAAAAATTTTTATAAGTAATTGACACTAGTTTTACCAATTTTAACTATTGCTAGTTGTATCCAGCCTCGTACCCAGGCGCTGAAAATGGGCACACTACAGTGTTTTTATATAGATCAGTGGCTCGAGCGCGCGGGGGTGCTTGGGGAGGTTGCAGGAAGCGAAGCGCCTGGCAGAATTTGTAACAAACATGGCGGACATCAGGATGCAAATGAGGAAATTGCTGTACTATACTCAATGAAATTGAAAGGCCTGCCCATCGAGCGTGACATTTGGGAAAGATTATATATCCAAATGATCACTGCGTTGATAATAATTATTTTTCCTCGAAAACGGTATTATATATTTATCATTTTAGCTGGCGAGTTTCCTCAGGACCTCTCGAAATTTAATATAAAGTCTCCTGGTCATGGTTTATATCAAATGGTTGAAAATATATGTCTGGTATTGGATGCACATCATGAAATGTACTGCCTTTTTGCAGTTTGAAAGAAAAGTATTCTGACAACAAAGCCAAAGTCAAAGAAACTGGACAAGTTTATAACTTTATATTCTTGATATTTTAATAATACATTGAATTTTATAAATATGGAATGTTGAAACTACTATTTATTTGTACTGATGATACATTTTACCTCAGAGGAGAAAATTAACTGGAAAATATTTAATGATTGTAGGTTTCTAAAATTTTGCCAATAGAAGGAATATAAATTAACATGCATGAGTGCTTGTTAGTATGCAAAATATGGTGAAGATAAAAACATAAATTTTAGACCTCTATTGTTGTAACTGGCTGACAATAATTATATAAACCACAAACCAGACCAAACTAATCTCATGTCATGCATGGTTCACCTGTTGATGTTTGTGATTCACCTTACTTTTGAGTTTTGAACTATGAAGGCTATTGCCCTTGATTGCCAAAATCTACTATGTTTACACTAAGGAATGGGGTATACTCTGGACTTGCCTCTGGCTGCATACAATGCATTTGATACCAGTTACAGACATAGTCTAACAAATTGGACAATTTAAAGGCATGGTTGCACATTGCAATTTGTTGGGCTGATTACAGTACAGATGGTATTGATATTTAAAAATCAATGACATTTGAAAAATATGTGGCAAACATTTGATGGTCTCACTGAAAATATTTGTCAACAGTTAGCAAAATCTAAAATCAGCCCGGCAAAGTATGGTGTATAAACACACAAAAATACAACCATACATGTACCATACATATACACACATGATTTACCATGTTGCCATGGAAATTGGTCTTGGGATTAAACAATCCAAACATGTTTATACACACAAATGCTTTACCTGAAATCATTCTCAGGTCACTCAAGGTAAGTCCCAGTAAACAGCTTGGACAGGTGTAGGTTTGTAGTGTAAACACAAGACCTATCCCAGTTGTCTCTGTGCTTGCTCCTAAATCCTCATGAATGTTTTACATAACTTGACTAAATGAGATATACCTCATCAACATACTATGCAAACAACCCCTGGAGCATTTAACCTAAAATGTTGAGAATTTTATTTATTTTGCTCATAATATAAACTACTAGTATTTACATTCAAAAAGATCTAGAGCTATGGCTGTATGGCAATATTTATGCAATTTAATACTCTTGTGGGCCTTTATTTATACACTCATCCACATCTTAACGTCTAAACAAGCTAGGCACATTAAACTTTGCAAATTAACAACTTTGCCCATTAAGTTTCACTGCCCCCTACTAGGGCTATGGTGGTGTGCTGATTGCACCACCGAGTTTCGTGGTGCAATTGTCAGTTCAAGACCACTTGATAAACTGCTAGATTTTTCAATCTCGTCATAGTTTTCCATCTCATAATCTGCTACAGTGGCAATGGGGACATCACTATCTAACAACATAATAAATTAACAACATTTCTATTACTCATTAGTCATTAATTCATAAATGTACTATATTATAATGCTTCAGATCACCAAAAATGTGATGCATGATGTATTCAAATGTCTGCTGACTTAGGAACTTAAACTACATAAGTAGACAATACCTTCTTCAAAATCAAGTTGGGAAAAGGATGCATTAAATATATCATCAGAACTTACTGATGCTATCAAAAGAAGATTTAATAGGTGTTTTAAAAACGCATACAGGTGATACGGCAATTTGCTGCTATTGCAATTTATATAAAATTAGCTTTGACATTGTTGTTATTGCATGAACCAAAGTCCAAAGAGACAAATATAACAGCATTCAACACTGAACAGATTTATATAACAATATATATCGCTATTTACATCATATAAAATAATGTAAATAATACTTAACTAAAATCCTTTCGTTTATAATATCAATTCTATTATAACACAGGTATATCATATTAAAAATTACTCATATAACAGACTTAGTCTGTCAGTCTGTATATTAATTCAAATAAAGGTTAAAAAGCGCCTATTAAGTATGTTTAAAGAAAAAGATTACCTTCATGTGGCTGTCTTTACTCCATCTGGTCCATATTGTCACGGAAATTGGGCACAAAATGCACAAAAACGCTTAAAAACTACATTTCTAAACTAAATTTGAGAAATCGACAATTTCTTGTACTTATCGAACAAATTCTCCCAGGCGCCTCCGGTTCCAGTTGCGTCCTCCCCAAGCACCCCCGCGCGCTCGCTCATCTTAGCCACTGATCTATATAAAAGTACTGTAGTGTGCCTATTTTTAGTTAATTGCGCCTGGGTAC